ATATACAGGGTGACCACAAAGTATCCGCACACGAGACGGTTTCATCTTGTGAAAATATAAGCATAAAAGCACTTATGTATTTTCTTATTTATTTGTTGTTTTTGGTTAATATTATGTCATAAACTTTATATACTTTACTTTATATACTTTGTAAACTATGTTCAATTGGTTTTTTTAGAATGGTGCGCGTTTCTCCTTATCGTCAACTTTTCTCTATGGCCGCCATCGAGCCCCGATCTTAACCCGATGGATTTCTCAGTCTGGAGCGTCCTAGAAGCAAAGGCATGCCAAAAGCCGCATAAAAATATTGAAAGTTTGAAAAAATCACTACTAAAAGCTTGGGATTCTCTGGACCCTGCCTACTTGCTCGCCACTGTCGAAGCATTCCCGAAACGCCTAAAGGCCTGTTATTTTGCTGATGGAGGAAAATTCGAATTCAATCTTTGAATCATAATTGTTATAGTTCAATAAATGTTTTAAAATAAAATTTGTGTTCCAAATACTTTCTACATGCTTTTTATTAAGCTCTTTATCTGTGCGGATACTTTGTGGTCACCCTGTATATATATATATACATATATATATATATATATATATATATATATATATATATATATATATATATATATATATATATATATATATATATATATATATATATATATATATATATATATATATATATATATATATATATATATATATATATATATATATATATATATATATATATATATATATATATTATATATATATATATATATATATATACTCTACTAATGTACAATCATTTTATTTATTATTATAAGCAATATATAAACAAATACATATAATGCTTATAATAATAAATAAAATGATTTTACTTGTATCTTAGACTTACATAAATAAAAAATTATTTGTTTAATGTTTGATTTGTTTATGAGTATTTATAAATACTCATAAACAAATCAAACATTAAACAAATAATTTTTTATTTATATAAGTCTAAGATACAAGTAAAGTCATTTTATTTATTATTATATGCATATCGTATTCGTCATCATGATCGGCTCCATAATGATCATCGTCATCTTTGTTTGAACCGATTAAGCCTCTTCGTCTTAAGAATTAGAAAAAAGGACATAACCTTTTCTATTTCCACCTATATGGAAGGGAGCCATTCTAAGATGGAAATCAATGCACGATACCGTATTGCGGATACCGAAATCATACAATCTCTTTTCTAAAAATAATAAAAATAACTCAATAAACATGTTCATTCTATTCATATAAATCATTCATTTAACAACTTTATAAATCCATAGTTTTATAGATTATAGAAGATTGTTTATTATATATATATATATATATATATATATATATATATATATATATATATATATATATATATATATATATACATATATATATATATATATATATATACATATATATATATATATATATATATATATATATATATTAGTGCTGGGCAACGAATAAATATTTTAATCGCGATTAATCGCATGATTTTTTGCGATTAATCGCGATTAATCGCAGAAATACGAAAAATTCAATAATAAAACCGCAAGTAGTATATATATAGCGTAAATTTATTTTTTCATAGTTAAATTAACATAACTTTTGGTTTGTCAAAACTTTAAACAATTTTATCCATTCTTTCAACTTTACTTACTCATCTGCACCAAGCCAGTTACTAAGACAAACAAGGTAATTCACATTTTCAGATGATAAAGAAACTCTCTTCTTTTGTACAATATGACGAGCAAGAGAAAACAATCTTTCACAAGGAACAGATGTTGCAGGTGTTGCCAAGTACTTCTGTGCAATTGAATTACCACTGTAATGGACAGGCCTCTGTACTGATAGTGGGCTCTGCTTTGTACCGACGCACACCGTTTTCAATTGAGTCTTCCTCTTGTTCAGAATCAGACTCTGATGAAGCAACCAATAGAGCAAATTTTCTCTTTGATGGCTTTGATGTTGCTGCTTCCACAGGTTCATCTGTATTAACCTTTGTTACTTGAGTAAGTTAGTGATTGAGACCCACACCTCACCTCTCTCAACTCTGGGTATACACTTGAGGTCTTTGAATCTCGGGTCCAATGCGGTTGCAATCTTTAGATATGCAATGTTGGCATTTTCCTTGCGTGTTTCCAGATCTATTCTGAACATAGATTTGAATTTGACTACATAGGCCGGGTCATCATCTAAGCTCTCCATCACCCGAGAGAGATGGCATAAAGCAGGCAGAACCACAGAGCATGAAACGTACTTTTCTCCACCCAGAAGTTCAGTCACATACCTGCAAAAAATAAAACCCATTTCACTCAAATGTTTTGCATTCACTTATACACACAAAAAGTGTTCTCATGTTCATGCTTACGCACAAATACAGACACATCAATTCTCTCACATGCAATCAAACCAGTCAGTAAGAAATATATGATGTAAAATATACCTGCAGGGTTCTAGGAGCTTTTCCAACCTCTGCAATTTGTCCATTTTAGCTGGAGTTGGCATAGCAACTTTTGTGTTGTGTGTGGTGAGGACATCGCTCAGTGGCTGTTCGTTTCCGCGAACACTTTTTATCATGTCCAGAGTCGAGTTCCATCTGGTTGGAATGTCTTGTATAAGCGACTCCTTCTTTTGTCCAAGCTCAATTTGTTTTTTTTCTAATTCTGCAGCACTTGCTGGACTGTGTTTAAAATGGCCCACCACCTTTCTGCATTTAGCCAGGGCATTGTCAAACGCGCTGTTGTGCAAAGATACTGTGACAGAACGCTAAAGACTGTGAGCGACACAAGGACGCGTTCAAAAGGCAGATGTCTTGCAGCAGCGACAATATTTCTAGCACAATCTGTGCTAAGTGTGCTGACTTTATTTAAAATGTCCCACTGCTGTGCAACATGAATGAAATGTTCTGCGCACGTTTCATCAAAATGTCTTTCTTGTGTCTTTATTACTGTCAAAGCATGTGAATGCAGTTTCCATTGTTCATCAATGTAATGCACAGTTACTCCGAGATAATTATGGTTACCCAGCGATGTCCAGTAGTCTCCGGTGAGGGCAACAGTTTGTGCACGTTATAATGCCGTTGCCTTTATAGTCCTCTCGTTTTCATACAGTTCATGTATTTTTCTTACAATGGTGCGTCTTGGCGGAGGCTCATACGTGCAGTCATTCGTTGCGATCCGAATAACATTCTTCAAACCGACATCTTCCACAATACTAGTTGGCCTGCAATTTGTAGCTACCCACTTTGCAATGGCATTTGTTATCTTGTCTTTCTTTTGTTTCTCTGTAGTTCTCCCTCGTGCTGCATCTAACGTAGTCTGCCGAAGGTTTCCTCCACTGTTTGTTTGGGTGGATGATTTGTTAGCATCAACGGTGTGCATTGCATTTAAGTGATACTTCAAACTTGAAGTACTCCGATGATAAGAAAATTCTGCTTTGCAGTGTTTACAAATAGCTTTAGTTCTATCTACTCCTTGTTGAAGAGGTTTAAAATAAAAGTGTCCGTTTAAAATTTCGGTACCTTTTTCCATTTTTAAATATTTCTCAATTTACTTACTGCTTGTTGTTTGAGCATAAGCAATAACATAAATACGCACGAAAGTTTCAATTCTTTTATGATTCGATTATTATCGAATTATAAATAATTAAATTATAATTCGATTATTATATAATTTTGAAACAATACAAAATAAATAAACAAAACTATAAATAAACATAAAAATACAAAATGCAAAATAACTTTTTTAATATATTAATACTAATATAAATTAATATAATAATAATTATAAGCAATAATAAGCAAAAAATATAAAATGAGAAACGAAAACTTTGACAGACAGTTTCACAAAAGAAAAATAAAGTTAAGCTTGTGAATCTTGTGAAAAAACGAGCGGCAGAAACTCATAATGAACTCATTGTAAAGACTAATAGGTGGAAAAAAAAATTTCATAAAAACTTAGCAAAAAAATATATTTTTTTACAATAATAAAATCTGGAGATTAATTTTTTAATTTAAATTTAATAGTTCTGTAAACTAAAGATTGACAGGTCTGTTTTGATGAATTTTGTGCAGCCCTGTCACTTTTTAGTTTAATATATATATATATATATATATATATATATATATATATATATATATATATATATATATATATATATATATATATATATATATATATATATATAATATCATATATATATATATATATATATATATATATATATATATATATATATATATATATATATATATATATATATATATATATATATAATATTATTTGCTTTAACAAACGATTTATTCAATTTTTAGTGCAGATTTTCCATAATTAACCATTTCTACTGTAATTGCATTAAACTAGTAATATTAACTCTGAAGAAATTGAAAAGAAAAATAATTTAGATTAGAATAATGCACAATTATGGATTAATTATATGTTATTATTTTCAGTTTATATATTATTAGTTTCTATATAAACATTAACAAAATAAAATGAAACCTTTAAAAGAGTTATATAATTAGTACTTTTGCACTTTTTTGATATCTGCTGATTATCGATGCATTCTTAGTTTCTGATATTTAAAACTTTTGCAATCCTCATAACAATCTGTAAAATGAATAACAAAACATCTTATCCAAAGCAATGAAAAATAAATTTAAAAAGTAAATTATTTAAACATTTTGTGAATAAAAATTATAATATCACAAACTAAAATAACAATTCAATAAAATATCAAGCTTTTGGTTTTTCCAACACACTGGTGATATGACATTTTGCTAACACTAATTTGGTTGAAGGTACATCAACACATAACATTAACTTGTAACTAAACTTGTTAAAAGCGTTTTAAATAAGTTTAGTCGTCTAGTTTTTTAGCTTTTTTTGCTGACTTTAGTTTTCCTAATTCCTAGGGATGATATACATATACATACTATATATTTCAATCCGTTAAAATTTCAAGCTTGGTAGGTCATTCATAACATAACAAAATAAATAAAATTATAAAATAACAAAATAAATAAAAAAATAATGCTATAAATATTTCAATAGCTTTTGGATATAGAGCGTAAGATAAAAACTAAACAATTTGAACTCTCTTTAAACTAATTTAAACTTTAAAGACTCGAACCAATCATCAACGTACCTTTTAAATATAACAGGAATTACCTTTAATCTTACATTAATTTTTAAGCGTTGAATTTTTATAAATAGCTTTTCAGAAGCTTGAGCAATTAGATTATGATTTAAAACGTAAATATCTGACAGATGTTCAACTATTAGAATCATATCTAAAAGTACAGAGTTAGCACTTTATCTTGTGATTACTAAAAGAATAACTATTAGTTTTAAAAATCACTGCAGTTTTTATTTACAGAATGATCTTTACAGAAATAGCCATTAACTTAATTATTATTTTAGGAAAATCTAAATTTTAAAGGAGTAAAAAAGTCACAAAAAATCAACTTACTTCTTGCATGTGTAC